CAAGCCAAGCAGAAGGACGTCTTCAACGCACTTCAGACAATTGAGTGGGCGTCCGAGGAAGCCAAGGCAAGAATTGGTAATGAGGGTGCAATTTACCACCTAGACAAGTGTTGCAATCCCACGAAAAGATTTAAGACTTCGCAGGTAGAGAATGAAGACAAAGTCGAGAAGCTTCTTACGCTGCACAAGAAGAGCGTCGCGGCCGGGCTTCACGTCGCTCTCCAGAGCACTCAGATCGTCGGGGGCGTCAAAACGTGGCTCTCCAAGTGGGGAGTTGTCACACGAGTGCGGCTTGGCTAACTCAGTGAAGCAGCTGTCAAAGTGAGCTCTGATGTGAATCTGAATCTGAAGCATCAAATTCGCCGCCCCAGGGCCACGGCACTGAAGACGACCGAGGAGTTCAGATTCGTGATGTGCTTCTACGTGAAGGCAGGAATGTTTGTGGCTCGTCATGCCTCTTACTTCGCTCTTGACCCGATAGTTGCAGGAGCTCCGCCCAAGTGCTCTGCCCGAGAATGCCACCGCGTCGAGAATCGGGTTCCACTCGGGGTACTCCGACCTGCGCAAGTTGACACGAGACCAGATCTTGGGGGCCACTTCGGCGTTACACCTGAGGTTTGTCACCGTGGAGAAGATGTGCGACCTCAAGAATGCGTCCGAGCGGGAGGACGTCCGAGAATTCTTGGGGTTGCTGAGGCAGGCCTTGGACCCGTTCAAGTGGGCGACTGCAGACTGGGCGAGCTTCGCGGCCTTTGCGTCCGAGCCCTTCGTGACGGTGGCAAGCTTCGTTATGAAGGTCATGGCTGGGGATATGGACGAGATCTTCCAGGAAGCAGCGGCGAGCACTGAGAAGGCATCGGCTATACCAAATCGTCATGCATAACTTAGCTTAAAGTGAAATGCTCAGTCTTGAATAGGGTCCCTGCTTTTCCTTGGAGGAGAACTACGCACGCCTCGTGGCTGTCATCCGAGAGATCACCGACAAGTGGTCCATGGCCATGAATCCTGCACCTGGGCCGCCTGCGCCCGAGTCCCCGCAGACGGTGTCAAAGGCAAGGAGCTTCCAGATGGAGGATGCAGCACCCGAGCAGTCTCCCAGCAAGATGACCCCAGAACAACTCCGTGAACGACAACTTGCTGCGGCGGTGGAGGCCGGAACGGCGGAGAGGTAGGACAGCGTCAGCTCGTCATGTTTGTTTATATTATAGTGTTTCTGTCACAGGAGGAGTGCGCGTTCTACGTGCACTACATCGTGGGTGACTTGCGGTGCGGCAGTGCGACCACCTTGGTCCGAGCCCTGTCCGATCATCGACTGCTGAGCGGAGACAATGTGAAAGGCGTGACGCTCTGGTACTTCGATCCCTCCCTGATCTGCGAAAACCACCCCTATGCACGAGTCACGTCGAACATCTTCACGAGGACACCCGTCTTCGACCGACAGAGCTGTGGAGTGTTCGCGGATGCTTTCGACCGAGTGGGGCGCGAGGAGGTGGGAAGTTGAACATGACAAGTTGCATGACACATTGATTGAGTAAGTTTCAGACGTACGCCAGGACATCTACTTCACCCTGGATGGCGGCGTTCAAAAGGGTGCGTCCGAGATACGCAAGAGTATTGGGAAGCTGGAGAATCAGGTTCCGCTCCAGCAGATATTGCTCGTGCCCGAGCAGGCGTGTCCCCGCAGGGACTATTTGCGGAGTGCGCAGGGCACTGAGACTGTGTGCTGCGAGGAGAAGAAGACACACTAGTAGTGCTGTAACTGTTTAACGTTTCAGAAGTTGCCATTAAGGTCCGAGGCCAACGCGAAGCGTCGAAAAACCTCGGCAGCTGGTGACCTCTCCGCTGTGGTAGGGCGGGAGACCATGTACTTTGGGCGGAAAAGTGGGCCAGTGGAAGCCCGAGATCACACCGCGTGGGTTGCGCCGGGTGCATCATCCACAGCTTCGCCCGCAACTCGGCGAAATTGCCCAGAGTCCGAGAATCAACTTTGATTGTGTTGGGAGGGCTTCCGCCTTGCCTGCAGGTGTTGAGCGCAGTTCCTCTGCCGAATCCGTCCGAGCTGCAGCATGGGACCTGGGCCGAGAAGAAGGCGGCCATCCCTGAAAAGCTCGGCAAGAGTGTGTTCGGCGACGGGCCACTTGAGGCTTCAGTTCAAACTGAGATGATAAAAAAAAACCTGTTTTTGAGCCATTGCAGCCATTGCAGATTCATTCCCAGATTTCGTTCCTGCGCAGGTCTTGACGTCCGAGTCTGACCCGGGGGAGAAGATGCCGTTGTTCTTCTTCGAGAAGGCCGAGGCGTTTTACACAATGGTGCTCCACGAAACTTTCAATCCAGATCGTGTGGTGCTGATGACCCCGGGCGAGGGCACCTTTGTGGTCGAGGCAGTCCGGCAGAGGACGTCCGTCATCTGCATCGTGGCGAACGAAAAGCAGAAGGACATACTCCTGGCCAACGTCAAGAAGCGCCTCCATGCCCGAGTCTCGAATGCCAACGACCGTCGCTTCTATCGCCCACCGAGCCTGACCCCTACTACAAGCAGCGTGGCACCGAGTCCGAGCCCGGCCCCAGCGACAGCATCAGTGGCCCCATCACCGTCGCCGAGTGCGACAGCATCAGTGGCCCCATCACCGTCGCCGAGTCTCCCCGCCCCGCCACGGGCCCCTGAGGAGACTGCTACGACCGAAGCTCAGAAGACGACCGAAGCTCAGAAGACTAAGACGACGGTGGAGTCGGATGATGAAGACGGGTCATCGTCTGGCTCGTCGTCGAAGGGGTCCTGATTCGGTCCCACCGGTCCGAGTCCTCGGTCATTGATTTTGGCTATAAAGAATGAAAAAAGCCTAAAGCCTAAGCGGCACAATGGCAGAAGCAGTCCAGTGCCCGAGGACCGACCGAGCTCTTTTCATTCCTGCGCAGACTTTGGTGCGCGATGCAAAAGAGGGTCGAATGCCCGCGTGTTCTGCCAAGTCGTGCAGTGCTTTCCAGACTGTTTAGTCTCTATGCGTTTCTTGGGAGGCGGAAACGTTCCAGCTGCCAGCCTTGCCCCGGCCTTATTCCAGCCACGCAGGCATGTCACGTTCACACAGACATTGACTGTCACCGTTCAGGTTGAACCGCTTCGGCAACGGACTCAACTCCCGGAAGGCCTGAAGGCATGTTTTGCCACGCGACGTGACACGACGGCCTTGCCTTCAACTTAGAAATTTCTTGCAGACTGGCTCAGTTCCCAAATCATTTTGATTCTAGTCATCATTCATGAATCCTTTGCCCAAGTCAAAGACTGGGAGCTGATTGCTACCCATGCACCCAAAAAGATCCCGGCATGTTTCGCATTACGCACATCCAGGGAACGTCGCGGGCCATGGCCGAGCAAGCAGTCGCACGCATTGGCGATACAGGCGGGCTGCATATATATATATATATATTTAAATTTTAAAGGACGTACACTCATTTCAAGTCTGAGATGGCAAGCAAGACCAGGAAGCCCTGCTGCACGTGACCACTGCCTCCTTGCCACCCATCAAACGGAACTGGGCAGCGGGCAGCCAGAAGGTGGCGAGGATCACGTTTCTACGTGCAGGCTTGGTCATGGCAAGTGCGATTGGAGCCGGAGTTGGAATTGTTGTCATTGTCATGTGCTGAAATTTCCGTTTTTTACTCACTCCTTTGTGTGTAGAGTGAGCCGCTGTGAGACGGTCAACACCCAGGCGCTCGATGCTTCTTCGAGGCAGGCTTCATGGGCCGATTGCGCAAGGGCTCGAAAAAACTCTGCAGCCCGAGTGAATCGCTCGCGTGGCGTTGCCGCTTCAGTTTCGATCACCCGATCACAGGACTCTCAGCAGCCAGATATCATCATCCGCATTAATTCGCGGTTCATTTAGTGTTTAAGTCCTTTGTCACATATCGTAGTAATCCAAATGAGGCAAAAAAGAAAGCTGGTTGACCATGCGTCCGATTACTTGGGGTGGATGGGGCATCGGCTGTTGGCTTTGCAACACTTTCAAAGTGCAGGGGCGACACATCCGCAAATGGAAGGGGGGAGACAGGTTGCAAAACGTGTGCAGGCAAACTTCACTTCCCAACCCGTACTTGCTGTTTCTTGGAACCGAGGTCGTGCTCCTTTGCCCGATTGACGGTGACATCACGGGACATGATGTCGCCTCACACCTTCGCTGGGCACGCCAAGAGCAAAGGCCACGTCCGAGCATTGGAAGCCTTAGCGGCCGCAAACATCAAGCCCGAGGATGCGGCTTGCAAGCGAGGCATTGAGGCCATCGCCACAGGCATCTCGGTCGGTGTGCCGCGCATAGACAAATTTCGTCTGGCTGCCACAGTGGTTGGTCGGCGAGACAGCTTCCGAGAAGCTCAGCCACAGTGGCCGTGTGTGACATGGAGGTCTTGGGAATAATCATTGGTATTGCAACTAAGGATTTCAAGGCCTGTATGGAATGTCTTGGAGAACAAGATTTTTCGGAGCGAGTTTGCAAGCAGATGGTTGCAGCCATGTC